GAGCAGCAGCAACCCCCTTCCCAGCGCGGGGCCTTCTGGGAAACGCCAGGCCGGGCGGGCCGCCGGCCGAGTCAAAAAGGGGAAAGAAATCAACAGCCGAGCTGCAGGGTGGAGGCGGATCTTCGAGCTGGGAGGAGTCTGTAAGCACCTGTGGGGCTTTCTTTTGAAGGGTTTAAAGTGTGGCGCTTTCCCTTTATCTTTCCCTTGGGTACATTTCTGCGAATGTCCACGAGAGGTCCCTCAGACTCCAACCTGGGCTGCCACGAACTCTAAGAGCACACCGGTGAGTTTGGAGTGGGGAGGACCTATCCGAGCGCGGAGGGAGTGACGTTACAAGTTGCCGGGCAGGTTTTGTACCCAAGTTCATCCCATTTGCCCCCGAGTGGGTCTCAAGATCCACCTGGCTCGCGCTCAACTGCTGCCCGGTGCACCCAGTGCGGGGGAAGAAAGGACCGAGGAGGAGGGACCGGGAGCCAGGCTTTTGGGTTTAAAACAAACGGAACTGCAAAGTAGGAAGAACGCCATGGCATCCCTTTGGACTTTCGAAGTTGTTAGATTTTAGTTTAACGCTGAGAATGAGGCATAATATGTCAGCATCCTGGGAGCATGGACGGGGAAGAAAGCGTTTGTATACAGTCACTGCAGTTTAATAAAAACAAGGGTGCACACCTGTCATTGTAGCACTAAGGAGGCCGAGGCAGGAGGATTACTGTGAGTTCGAGGCCAGCTTGGGCTACATAGTGAGTTCAAGGCTAGCCTGGCCTACAGAGTGAGACCCTGTCTTATAAAAACAAAATAAAATAAATAAAACCGGGGAATCTACAGCCCAAGGCTAGCTAGCACTTGGCAAAGGTAGAGATGCCTCATAACTCATAACTCATAAGCCACGGTATGGATAAGGGTTGTGCCCTGGGCTGCAGTGTAGTGGGAGGACAGAGGAAAGCTGCGGGGGGAGCCCCTACTGGCGAGGCTGTATAGATTCCTGTTACATCCGGACCAACACTTAAATGGGGAGGAAGGTAATGGTTCCCAACAAAGGTTACCACCAATGGTAGTTTACATAAGGGACAGGAAACTGAACCAGAAACTCCGCCTACTCAGTTGCAGATGACTTCCCTGAGCTGGGCAGAGTAACACACTCCTAGAATCCCAGCTGTCTGGGAGGCTGAGGCAGGAGGATTGCAAGTTTGAGTCCAGGCTGGGCAACTTGGCACAACCATGTCTTCAAAAAACAAACAAAACCAAACAAACAAACAAACAAACAAAATCCAACAACGACTGGAGGCCCTGAGTTCAATCCTCAGTTAAAAAAAAAAAAAAAAAAAAGGCAACTTCCCAGTGATTCCCCAGGGTAGGTAAAGAAAGGTTCTTAAAATACAAAACAAAAAATTTACTCTGTCTTGGAAACTTGATCTCTTCCATAAATGGAAATCCTGAGATTTAGACCTTGGAGGCACGGTCATGCCCTAGGGAAGGACTTAAAGGGCAGAACATTTGTTTTGACACATTCTCCTTTGTGAGATTATATATATATATATATATCACACACGATATTCTACGTGTCTTTATACCCTTCTTTTTGTACTATGGCAGCAAATCATCCCCTGCATTAAGCAACCACTCGCCAAATGGAAAAGTGTGGGCTCCAGTTTTGGGAAACCTCCCTAACTGCTCGCCCCGACCTGGCTGGGCTGACAAATCTGGGGAATAAACTGGAAGTGTCTTCACCGCGAATGTCTGCAGCCAGAGGTGAGGGCGAGTGGGAAAGGTAGAAGCTAGAGAGCTTTGTTTGTACTTAGCAATGGGAAGAGTCGTTGGTCTGGATGGTTAGGGTGTTAGCTCATCTGTTTATGGAGTTTATATCAGAGTAGCAAAACAAGCAAGTCACCAGAGCAGCCCCGGCCGTCCATGAGCAATGCAGGGAGGCCTTGGAAGGTGCCAGGACGGGAGGCTGAGCCAGCCCAAAGCCTTCAGTAGGCCGTGAATTCCTGGGGAGTGAGCCCGGGCTGGGGGTGGCTCAGGAGGCGCAAGAACTGAAGCCAGGAGCCAAAAGCCTTGGAGAAATTTTTCCACCTATAGAAAAGCAATTGGATGTTCAAACCAAGTTCTCGGTAGAAGAGTGTGCTACAAACCCAGGCATTTGATGAGATTTGCAACACACATATTAGCAGGTCTACACGCCAAGCCAACCCACGCTACGTTTTCCCATAATCTTCCCGAATTGAGGGTAGAAGATGAAGAAGCAAAAGAAGATAATATTACAATTAAAACAAAAACAAAACTGAGGCATGTGGCACACACCTGTAATCCCAGCACTTGGGAGGCTGAGGCAGGACAACTGCTAGGAGTTCAAGGCCAGCCTGGGTTACATAGTGAGACCCTGACTCAAAAAAAAAAAAAAAAAAAAAAAAAAAAAAAAAATAATCTTATTCTACAATCCTTTTTAAAAAAAGGCTTATCTGGGGCCAGGGATTTAGCTCAGTGGTTTCACCACCTGGCTTATAAATGCAAGGGCCTGAGTTTGATCCCTGGTACCAAAAAAAGTGACTTCTCTGCATTTTATACCCAACAGACTTGAAAATGGTCTTCTTTTTGTTTGGATTTTGCCCTGTATCTCTGTCTCTAGCTCATTCTCTCCCCAACCCTTCAGCCCAGGGGGAGAAGATGCCAAAGGCTCTGCAGACAGCAGCTCTGATACCTTCCTGCTTTAGAATCTGGATTCCAGATCCTATACCCAGTAGCTCCTGAGCAGTTTTCTTCTGTGGTATCCTGGTCAGATGATCTACAGGTTCTGAGAGCGCGTCTATTCCTTTTTTTTTTTTGGCCCAAGTAAGAATTTCCATGTGATAAATTCACTGAAGAAACACAGGGAATGCTATGTCATTCTAAGATCGACACAACAGGGCCGAGGATGTAGCTCAGGGTGCTGCACCTGCCTGGCAAGGGTAAAGTCCTGAGTTCCATCCCTGGTACCGGATTAAAAGAAAAGATTGACATAATATTTTCCATTCATTCCTCTAATGCTTGTTTTTATAGTTTATTTATTTTTGCACAATTTGTGAGACAGGCACGTCATCACTGAACTAAATCCACGGCCCTCATGCTTGCTTTATAGAAGAAGAAGTGGAAAAGATTAGGATATTAAATTAATCTGTCTCTTTTTTTTTTTCCTCTCCAGTTTTGCCAAAATAGCTCGTAATTCAAAGGCCGAGCGCTTCTACTCCTACAGGATTTCACATCCCCGATGGGTTCACAGGGTGGGGAGACGGAGGCGACGGGAGTTGGTTATTGTGGGTGACCCGCCAGGATCTCAGGCTAAGGTCCCGGCGTGGAGCAGGCGGAGGAGGGACACTAGGGGGACCCGGCCAGGAGCCGGAGCAGGGAGAGGCTGGCGTAAAGGGCGCAGAGCCGGGGCAGGGTGTCGGGGTCCCACGTGTACTGTGGGCCGAATCGCTGCACTTCCAGGCCGCTGAGCCCCACGAGGGCTTCCGTGAGCGTCAGTTCCTCTTCCCCAAGGGCGGAGAGAAGCTCAGGGCGCAGGGGGAAAACACCCTCTTTGTCCTGCAGGAAATTCTGCTCCAGCGTGCTTTCCACCTGCAAGGAACCGAGGCAGCGTGAAAAGAAAGAACTGGAGGGCTCTCTCTTCTCTTCCTGACGCATATGGATCAGGCTATCTCCCCACTCCTTACTGACTCTCAGCAGCCCTACACAACGAGCTACGGAGCCATCTCTCCATCTATCCGCCCATCGATCCATCCATCCCTCTAGAGTCTTGCTACACAGTCCAGCTGGCCTTGAACTCACTATGTGGCCCAAGCTGGCCTTCAACTTGCAGTCATCCTCCTGCCTCAGCCTCCCAAGTGCCGGGATTACTGGTGAGTACGCTTGTTCTTAACCCTATTTTACAAGGGAACAAATCAAGGCAGACTCGGAGGCATTGGGAATTAGCAAAGCTAGAGTTTTCTGTCTTGTCTCCCAAGAGCAAGCTGATGACCCCGGATTAAGAGAAATCCACCCTTGCACGCCCTGTTGTGTGAAATCATGCAAAGAAGGAAATGTGGAGAAGGAGCAGGGGGGGTGAGCTCCCGGGGTGGTGCAGCCCGCTCTGGGACAGCGGGCGCCACCAGGCCACATCCACGTCCTCCCCCATGGTCCTAGCTGCTCCCCTCCCCAGCTCTCCCCGCATCTTCTGCTCTTTCTCACCAGCTTCAGCTGCACCGGGAGGACCTTTTTCTCCATGGATTTCACCAGAAGCTTCTGTTGGGCTTCACTTAGCACTGGAGATAGAAAGCAGAAAGAGACCCGGGTGTTGCTAGTGGAGGGGACGCCACAGTCTGGGGGCGGCGCTTGTGGGTCCCCGACGCACCCACGGTCCACCCATCCCCTCACTGGGCCCTGTGAGAGGGGCCTTGCAGTCTAGGGAGGAGGGGAGGCGGCGTGGAATCTCAGCTCAGGCCCTCCGGTCCTGGCCCTGGAGCGCAGCCTCCTCAGGGGCACAAAGCTAAGCGCTGGGCTCCGTGTAGAGAGCCGGAGCTTGACCACACGGGGAAGGGCGGAAGACGTGCGGACACATCGAGGGTTCTTTCCCAACCGTTCAGCGAGGCTGGCTTCTCAGGCCACTCAGTGTGACTAAGCGAACCCTTATTAGGAGTAGGACCAGTTTTACTTTTAATTGTTCTGTTTGCTTTTTGAGACAGGGTCTTGCTAGGGAGTCCAGGCTGGCCTCGAACTTGTGGCGATGCTCCTGCCTCAGCCTCCCCGGTGCTGGGATTACAGGAGTGCGCCACCGCGTCAGGTTTTAATGTAAACTTCACTGCAGTAGAATTGATGTGGCATTCACCCATTCATCCACTGGGAATTCACACAGGTGATCCATTCCTCTGTTGGAGAAGTATAGACCCTGTTCCCCACTGACCTGTGAGGGCTCCAAGAAAATAGAGGATGGCACCCATGGACTCCTTTGACAGCAGGATGTCCTTCGGGAGCACCTCCAGCATCACTTCGTGGCCCTTCTCTAGCGCCCCTTCAAGCTGTGGGGGAAATAGGTCTTTAAAATGCCACGGGTAAAGGGCTAACATGAGTCCCTCAACAAGTGGCAACTCCATCCTATTTCTCTCTTTTACTTTTTATTTTTGAGACAAGGTCTCACTATGTAGCCCAGGCTGGCCTCGAACTCCCAGTGATCCTCCTGCCTCAGCCTCCCGAGTGCTGGGATGACAGACGTGCGCTGGCCTGTTTCTTTTTGTAGTATTAGGTCCTTTTGGTAGTATTAGGACTCTGGAAAGGTTCTTTCTCCCTTCTGGAGGGCTGCCCACCTCTGCCCGTCAGAGGAAGCAGGCACCTCAGGGAACGCTTTGCTGGGGCACCCAGCGGGCAGAGGGGCCCGCTTTGGGGCAGGTGTCCACTATCAACTCTCATACCTCGCTGCCAGGGGGACTCCCTTGTCCCCAGCCTCCCAGCTCCATGGGGACTTGGAAACTCACCTCCAACTCGAGGTCCTGCAGCTCCTTCTTCTTACCGAGCAGATTGCTGAGGGAGCTGAGCAGAGAGCCCTGCCCCGACTGGCTCAGCCTGCCCACCTCTTGGGTCTCTCTCTGGACCTCTTCTTTCAGGGTCGTGAAGTCCTCATGCACCTCCCCTAAGGTGACACGAGAGGTAACAACCAGCCCATCACCCTCAAGAGCCTCCACTTGCCTCCTCAGGGCCCTGCCCCCAGCCTTAAACGGGAGATGGTCCTCCTGCCTCAGCCTCCCGAGCTCTGGGATCACTGGCATTGCCACCACACCCAGCTTCAGCATCAGAATCTCCAGCTAAAAGTTGAGAGGGAAGATGTCTGTGCCCTTCTCATGCATCAGTTGACAAAGATGACTTTGGTGTGAAGGCCGGGACCCAGGGCCGGAGTGACCCACAGCTGGCCCTCAATGGAAGCGGCACCCTAGGGATGTGTCGCTCCACATGGCCGGAGTGGTACCGATGCCCAGACCTGTGACCCAGCCCTTCTGTCCTTTCCCTCCACCTTCCTCTACCTCCCACCACTTTTGTGCCAAAGTCTTAGGAGAAAGTCACAGAGTTGCTCACCGACATCAGATGCCTGGATAACTGAAAAAATAAGAAAGAAAAGAGCCATGAGAAGCCGCCCTTCAGGGTGGCGGGTACCCCGGGGACTGGGATACGACAGGCCCAGCTGTCGCACAGCTTGCTCTACTTCTGGGAGGTGGGAATGGAATGAGATAGGAACTAATTGGGCAAGAGGCACCCGGATTGAGGTGATGCAGTGGCAGCTGGCGGAGTGGCACGAGGGCGGGGCACAGGTGACAGCCAGCACAGCCCCTGGGGACAAAGGCCCATCCGGCCACCCGGACCTCTTGTCCCAGGATCTCCCCCTTGGGCTGCTTTTTCCTAAGCCACGGCAGTCCTGCCACGTGTTGGGAGCCGCTGTTTGCCTGGACCTGCTGTGCCACCTTTCCCGCTGCCCCACGCAGGAGGAAGGAGAGGACCGGAGTCTTAAACCGGAGTCAACAAAGTCACACGAGGAGGGAAAGGAACACTTACGCGTGAACTTCTCTTCTCCCGGCTTTTCTGAAGACAGAAATAACACACATCCGTCAGCGTGGAACTGATTTCTGCTTCCTTTCGTTGTGTTTTGTTTTGTGTTTTGAGGCCGGGTCTCGCTATGGAGCCCAGGCTGGCCTCGAACTCACTGCGCTCCCCCTGCCTCAGCCTCCTGAGTGCTGAGATGACAGAGACCCACCACCGCGCCTGGTGTTTCTGCCTTGGTGACTAAGGTTGTGGTCACGGCAGCTTCCCCCGTGATCACTGTGAAAGTACCCGGCGCTGCCGTTCACGCTGCCACCCCCACAAGTTGGGGACACTGTTTCTGCCCCTTCTTTCTGCTTGCGGCTGTCCTGCCTGTCTCTTTCTCTGACCCTCTTGGGCAATATTTCTGGGTCTCTGTCTGTCTCTCCTGAAGTCGAGGGTGGCTGTTCTTAGGGACTTGGAAAACAAAAGTGGGAGTCCTGGGGGAACTCGGCCAGCGGGGTTTCAGCAGATGGCGCGGGTGGGGCCGTGGGGACAGTGATTTTACCTCCAGCGGGGAAGGTCTGCGAGCCGTCGCTGGACAGGTGCGGAATGTCTGGAACACAGGCAGAGCGGGGTCAGCAGCTGCTGGGCCTCTGGCTCCAGGCTCCAGGCCAGGCCGGAACGGATGCCCCTTCTGAGGCCACCCTCTGCGGCACCCCAGCTGGTGACGGTGTCCACCTGCCCCAGCTCCCCAGGGCCCCCACCAAGCGAGGCCCCCACCCAGCGCCCGCCTGCCCCTGCAGCTCTGTCCCTGCAGCGCACGACTCGTACATTCTTGGGCCTGTTCCAACATTACCACAGGGCACCTTGCGGCCGGGGATGTAGCTCAGTGGCACCCCGCCTGCCTCACAAGGTCCTGAGCTTGATCCCCGGTATGGGAGAAAAGAAAGAGGGTGGCTCAGCCCAGGGGCGGGTCACCCCATGCGGGGGGCGCCGGTCTCTCTCACCCCACTCATCTCGGCCAGAGATCAGCAGCTGCCTCACGCGAAAGGCCAGGACGCAGCCCTTGGGGATGGTGACGGCCTCCTTGTGGTTGACGGATCCCTAGGAGAGACAAAGATTTGTGAGTCTGCAGAGACCCTCCTATGAGACGTGGGGGCCAGGGAGGGCCAGGCCCGACAGCCTGCGGGGGCAGCGACAGGAAGTTGGGAACCCTCGGCTTGCTTTCTGCTTCGAGCCCTGCCACTCTTGCCAGCAACGACGATGTGCTCTAACGAGCTGAGGGAAGGGAACCGGGCAGACCTGCTCCTCCTCCCCGCCGTGTGTCACCTCCGGTTCCTTCTTCCTGTGCCATCTGTCCCACCTCACCTCCCCGGGACGCCAGAGCGCCCCTCCCCAGACAGAGGCGTGAAACCCTGATCGGGAGTTGCCCGGCCTGGGTTGTCTGGGCCGTGGCTGAGCACCGAACCTGCAGCCCCAGCGGGGCGAAGAACGGGAGGGAGAAGCAGCCCTCGGCCTTGCCGGCCCTCTCCAGGGTGACCTCCTGCACGGTCTCCACCACCTCCATCACCACGTACAGGTTCTCGCCGCGCTCCCGCATCTCCTTCAGGAACGGGTGGTCGGCGGCCAGCTTCCTGCGCCGAGCCGGAGGGGCCGCTCAGACCCTGCGCAAGCCCTCCGATCCCCGCCCACCCTGCGTGCCCACCCCAGCCGGATGTCCCGGTGGGGGCTGGGGCCGCATCTGTACAGCAGGATGATGATGCGTCCCTGTGGGGCTCTGAGATAAACGGGGCGATCGCGAGGCTCCTGTTGCTTCCTTCTCCCCTCTCCCTGAGCCTGGGCTGGCGGCTTTTCCCCCTGGTCTCTGCGCCCTCTCTTCTGGGATTCCTTCTTTCCACCTCTCACCCCCTCCTGCCATGAAGTCCTGTTCCTCTCCAGCAGCTCCTCCCTAAACACACCCCTGGCCCTAACCAGTTCACTTTCTGACCCTCAATGTACCACTTTATTTCTTTTTTTTTCTTTCTTTCTTTCTTTTTGTAGAGACAGGGTCTTGCTGTGCAACTCAGGCTGGTCTTGAACTCACTCATTATATAGCCCAGGCTGGCTTTGAAATCACAGCGATCCTCCTGCCTCAGCTTCCCAAGTGCTGGGATTATAGGCGGGCGCCACCATACCCGGCTCTGCCGCCCTATTTCTTTCCTTCCCCTTATTGGCAAATATCTCTGCCCCAACTTCCGGCCACCTCCGGACAGTCCCGGCTGACGCCAGAGCAGGACCGCAAGCTCACAGCGTCCTCAAGGGACCCACAGTCCTTCCCCACGGGTCCTTGCTGCTTCCTGTTTGCCACCCGCCACCCGCCGCCTTTCATTTGTCATCCGTGTCGCAACCTGGGTCAAAACTCAGAGCCACGTTGACTAAGTCTTCCTTCTTGCCCTGCTGTCACCACCAAGGCGAGTCTGTTCTGTTGCCATTGGCAACAGGCCCTGCATCTGTCCGGCTCTGGTTCTCACGGCTCTTCGGCCTCGTTTTCCATCTCTGAACGATGGTGACCGCGTCCAGGGTCTGCCTGATCCAAACCCTACCCGCTTCCTCAGTGCACTTCCTCCAGGGGTCCTGTTGGGCCCCTCTGCGGATCCCGTGGGTGTCCCCCGCCTGCAGCTTGGGCTCCTCAGCCAACCGCGGGCCCGGCCTCCCCAGTGCTGGGATGGCAGGTGTGCGCCCCCTCACGGGCTTTGGCCTTGGGTTTTACTTACTGTTGCACTTTAGCTTTTCACACTCAGATCACAGTGTGCGTGGACAGAGAGTCTTAGGTGCAGCCCAGTACATAGCGCTTGGCCAGGGTTTACTCCGTGACTTTCCCGTACCCCAGCCGCCCACCCCACCATCAGTCATCACCTCCTTCTCCTTTTTTTTTTTGGTACTGGGGATTGAACTCAGGACCTGGTGCTTGTGAGGCAGGCGGTGGCATCACTGAGCCAAATCCCCGGCCCACCGCCTCCTTCTTTTAACCACTGCTTAACATCTTAAAAGTCAGTTCCCCTGTCAAGTCAAATATGAGAAGTGCCCAGTGTCAGCCTGCCTGGCCCCACCGAGCTGAGGGGCGATGGCCCAGGGCCTTCAGTGTGTGTGGCAGGCGGCAGGCTTAGCTTATGGGGGCAGCACGCTCTGCAGGTTCCATAGGAAGCAGCTAGACAGACCCTCCCCTTTGCAGAGTACCTCACGGTCTTGGCGTGGAAAGAAGCTTAGGAATTATGATCCAGCCCCCCATTCCTTTTCTTTTGAGACAGGGTCTCACTATGTAGCCCAAGCTGGCCTCAAACTCCTGGAGATCCTCCTGCCTCAGCCTTCTGAGTGCTGGGATGACAGGCGTGCGCCACACCCGACCCTCCCATCATTCTGCAGGGAGAAAACTGAGGTTCTAAGTGATGTGGGTGTTCCCAGGTCACATCGCAGGCACAGTGAACTCCCAGGTACTCCGTGTGTGTGACCGTGGGAAGTGGTGCTGGAGGGAGTGGGTGGACAGACGGGGAGGCCCGGTTAGGAAATGGCCCGGGTGCACACCTGTCTGAGGGGCATCTTCCGGGTGGGTCCCTGAGGCCCAGGCGCCCGTCCACGCCCCCTCCGTCCCCTGGGCCTCGCTCACCTCTCCTTGTGCAGCGACTCCAGGGCCTTGGGGGCCACACTGAGGGTCTGGACCTCCAGGGTGCTGTTCCACGACAGCCCGGCGGCGCCCTTGACCTTCACCGTCCTGGGCACGTCCACCTCTCCCTCCAGGCGCGCGTCCAGCATGTTCTTAAAGCCAAAGCTCCCCGCGTCCGTGGGGTCTGCGGAGGGAGAGGAGGGCGGGCT